TCTGCTTTTTACGTAATGCATTTCAATGCAACTTAACCTCGAAACATGCTAACCCGACTTTCAACGATAGTTACGAAATTTCAATCTATTACATAACCATTATGAAACATCAGTAATTATTCTATGGATAGGTTTTTTTAAAAGACAGTAATCGGGTATTTTTATTTTTTATTCATTTTTAATGTGGGTTTCTGTCAACTCTTTCTCTATCCCAGTATTTTTTCTTTATTTTTCAATTTTCATACCCATCTGTCTTCTGTGCCGAATGTTATTATTTAATCAAATATCAGGTTTTTATATTAACTGTCACTAACTGAAATCCCTAGAGGGCTGAATAAGCTGCTAATGTAAATTAACTATACACGGATATAAAACAAAACTTGATAGAAATGGCTTTGATTGAATTATTGCTAAATTATTACTACGCTTCTACTTGTTGAAGCAAGTTAACTAAAGAAAATTAATTAAACTGTCAATGCACCTTCCATTTGATTATAATTAAATGAAAATCAATAAGAATCGAGGGAGAGAATTAATAAATGTAAAAATTGCAAATTATTTCTCAATATGGTAGAGTCCTGAAAACTCGGCCTAATGGGGACTGAAGGGAAGACAAGTTCGTGAAAATGCCAGATTATTAAGGGTTTAAAAAGGAATAAACACGAGTGTTTGCTCAGAAAATGTTGCTCTGCACTTGTATCTTTGTTTGTTTGAGAAAACAACAGGAAATAAACTGGCCAAATCGGAGGAAAAGTGTGTACTTTAAGAAGGCATAGAGCATTTACTACATGAAAATGAAAATTAATGAATACTCAGTTTTCAGTGATTTACTTGATCAGACACACCTCAGAAATATATTTTATGAAGGCATAAAGTTGTCTATAATGAAAATTAAGCAGACGAGACTTTTTAAAAACTGACTTATTTTTTAAAGAAGACCATGGAGTCCATTACCGAAAGCAGCTTGTTCAAAAGACTGAAGGGCAGTTTCGACACCCTTAAGTCCATCATTATGTGATATTTTAGATATGTGGCCTTTTTTTATAAACCCGGGAGTGGGCGCGTGGGGCACTCAGTCACACCAGGCTCATGAAATCGTTAATTCTGGGAAAATCGTTTATTTGTTACCAATGACCTCTTGACAGTATCCTCCTATATGGCAGTCCTCATGGGAACTAAAATGTATTTGTCACATGTCTTCCTCTTTTCTGGGAGCGGCAACGATATTTTTTTTATAATCTTAAGGCACAGTCGAACCTCCATATAACGAACCTCTATATTGCAAATTTTTCTATATAGTGAATTTTTTCCTGGAACAAAGAACATTTTACGATTTTCTACGTAAAATAACCTCCCTATTACGAAGTGCATTTTTTATATAACGAACTTTTTCTCTTGGGATTCAATTTTTTTCTCCCTATTTTTAAAGTATTTCTGGATATTTCATGTTATTTTCTCTTTTAACACACTTTATGGCGGTTACTAGCTGCATGGCCCGGTGTTGCACGGGCTATCTCTACTTTTATAAATTTTCCCTTTCTTTCACAAAATCAGAACTTCTAATACTCATTTTCAAAATAACTCCCCCTTCACCACTTAGCCCGGCGTTGCTCGGGCTTTCTCTTTTCCTCATGACACCAGCATTTGTGTGTGTGTGTGTGTACGCGCACAATGTGAGTGATTTCTAAAATTATGTCAAAAAATTTCCCTTTTTCGAAATTTGTTCCAAACCGATGTCCTAATTTAACTACAAAAACTTCACTTTTTTTAAAAAAAAATAGTTAATGAAAACCATTTACAGTGTAATTAGTTTGAATTGTTAAGAATGTGTTATTCAAAAAGAGAGAGAAATTCTGCCTGAATGTTTTTTATTTAAAAAAAATAGCGAACCATTCCATAAATTAAAAAAAAGAAGGTAATTTCTAAATTTATTTTGAAATAGTTTTAAACACTTCTTTACGTAAATATTTTTTTTAAAAAAATATTTCGATTGTTTTATCTGCAATATTTTTATAAGCAACTTTAATTTGTAGATAAAACTTCCAATTTCAGAGAACGTGATTAATACCTTTAAAATAAAAAAAAATATTTTTTCAATATCCCGTTTCGTTATTCGTTAAAGTAAAAAAAAAATTTTCGGACTTCAATTAGTAAAGACTGATAAATATTTTTAAAAAATTGTAAAATAATTAACTTGAAAGAAAGATATATAAATATATATATAATTTTATTACATTAATTTTTAAATATTTTTAAAAACCTCTGAAAATAAAAGAAGTTCCGAATTTTCCCCTGGAAATAAATGATCTTTCCGATTCTCTGCAGATGGCGCCACATGCATAATAAATGCGTTTTAAGGTTTTTAATTAATATATTTTTAACTAATTGGAATATCGGAATATAAATGGTCAAAACGGATTTCTTGGATCATTCCCAAAATTTTGGTACCTTGTGCAAATTTCTGCGTCTTGTGGTTCGAGAGAAAATTGGGCTATATACCTATATGCATCCCTACATAGATACGTTTGTTTATCTATTAATTTTAATAGAGTAGGTAAATCTTGGACGGTTTTATTAGATGCCTAACTTGCCAAGAGCAATACGATTCGGGCGTTTCATCCAAGAAGTGCAATCTTTAACACTCATTGTCCAGTTCACTGGAAACATCTCTGATAGCCTCCTTCGCCCTCAGTGGAGTTGCCTCGTGTTCCCGTGTCCTAGAACTAGTCTCTGTTCATTTGTACTGTTGATCAGTCGTACTGGTAGCTTCGATTCTTGTAGCTCTAAAATGTTAAAACGTAAGTGCTTGAGCATCAAAGAAATTTTTTTAATTCTTCAGGAAGTGGATAAAGGCGTCAAGAAACTTTCCTTGCAGTTTTTCTTACTTTCTTTTCTTTTTTTATGATAGGCAAGATATGTAAAATAAATATATATTAATTTACAAAACAGTAAGAATAATTACATTTTTTAATATATAATGTTTATGAATTTAAAATTTGTTTTATGTGGTTTATAAAGAAAATTCTAAGAGAAACCTCTATATAACGAATTTTCCATACAGCGAACTTTTTTTCGGGTTTCAGCGACTTCGCTATATAGAGGTCCGAATGTACTTGTTTTGACTGTGTTATCAGCGCGACCACTTTTGTTCCAAAATATATTCTATGAACGGGCTACATTTTCCCCCGGTGAACAAGTTAGTGGTTTTGACTGCTGTGTTGTATGACTTATCATGGTTTATAAATGTAAATAAGCAGATTATAAAAAAATGGGCATCTGTGTGATCTCTAATGAAGGAAGTAGAAATTGATCAAGCAAAGGAAGAATCTGCTGAAATAATGAGTATTTATCATGATAGCGAAAGTAAATTTGAGAAAAGTGATGAACGTGAAACGTTAGAGTTGAAAGGAAAAATTTCAAATTGTTACATTTTCTGGTAAACTAACCCAAGCTTTGGCAAAGCAAGCAGTGAAATGTTTGTGTCGAGGAGGCATAAAGATGAAAGCAGTTTCTCAAAAATGACTTTTAATAATAATCAAGGATAAAGTCAATGGGCTCGTCACTGGAGCGATCAAAAACAATAAGTTGACTAATAAAATATTAGTTAAAATAATCAACATTACCAGACATCCGATTCTCAAACCGTCTTCTTACAGTCTAATATTTAAAAACGAATTTAGCATCTTAAAATGGTGATGCAGCATACAATTGCATAGCCAACCAGCCGCTCTCTATTTAAGAGTTAAAACACACTTCTTATATTTCCTTTCTCCCTGAAAAACTAACACGAGCCGAGTTTAAATAGTCGCTCGATTTGCATTGCAGTTGCTGCTAACCACAAATCACGAAACTTGCAAAAAAATCGGGTTCGAATCAGTTTGTTTACTTTCATTGAGATCATGGAACGGGATTGGAAAAACAACTCAAGGAGACCATAAAAATTCGAATCCGAAAAATATTTCGAATGGTTTTTCTTTTTAAATGTCTAACACAAATGCTACCTAAAGAAGTCCATCAAGAAAAATATAAGAGCCATAAGTGTACCACATAAGACACATGCAAGGAAAAGTTCAACATGATATTTGTCAATCAACCAAGGACAATAAAACTATATTAACTTGAACAAAATGGGACATTTTGCCTGCAAATAACATTCCTGTTATGTTAGCGAAAAATATCTGTGATTTGTTTCCTTTATTAAAGTCGCGCACATTTGAAACTTCTTGGTTCAGTTTGATAGATATTTTTCTCAAATTATCAAAGACAAATTGAAAAGTCCTTAAAAATAGGTAAATATACTTTCTCTTAGTTAAATTAGTCACTGGAATTACGATTTTTATCATGTACAATAAAATAATTTTTTTAAAAAAAGGGATTGGGGTGATTCAGTCACTTCGCGTGACTATAACGTTAGTATCGAGTGCGCGCTTGCTACGGGGTAAAAATTGGTCAATCAGCTACAGCCGTGGGAATTATAAATTTTTGTGGATTAATACACAATCAAAAATGTATGTGAATCGAAAGAACATTAGATGTAATAACTAACATGTAAATGAATTTTTAAGAAATAAATAAAAGGAGCTTTAAATACTTTTATATTAGTGTGTGTATTGTAAATTTTAAATATATTTCTTTGTAATAGAAGTAAACAACAAAAAACAAAATTATAACTAAACATACAATACCTATAAAATATGAAATTACTTATTCAATTCCAACTATTAGTTCAATCTCTCCCTATATATATATATATATATATATATATATATATATATATATATATATATATATATATCTTGTTCAAATTTTCAATCGTTAATTAAACACTTTCTATTCATTAATTCAAGTTCAAATACATTTTTTAAACTTGTAGTGGATGACACTTGATGTTAATACAGTTTTTTCCAATATTAATTCATTAATTAAATTAAAAAATGAATAAATAGTAAACAAAAGTAATAGTCCAATGGCATATATAGAAAGAAAATCGTACTGTGTTTGCCTGTAGGGCAATGGATAGCGCGTTGGACATCTAATCCAAAGGTTGTGGGCTCGAATTCCACCTGCGACGGTTAAATTTCTGAGAATTTGAATTATTTTTGTACTATACTATTTTATCTGAATAATTAAATTTAATTAATGAATAAAAAGCAACAAAAAATATAGTCCAATACCCTATATAGAAAGGAAAATGGAAAATTGCTAGGGAAAATGCTTTCTATTTTGCCGCTTAATATTGTGATTCTGTCATATGTTTATACATATTTATATAAATTGTAACTATTTAATAAAAAGTTACTAAAACAAATTGTTGATCTAAGTAGGAATTGACTTAATTTTTTTTTTATATATATTTTTTTGTTTGTTTTTTACTACTTTTGTAGCTCAAGTATATATATTTTAACAACCTTTCCCATACAATGAAACAAGATTGAGGAAGTTTGTTGAGTATCAGTAAGCATAGAAAAATTGAAGACTATATACTAAAATATTTATATAAAAAATACATAAAAAAGTTAACTTTTTATTATTAATATCAATGAAATTAGACTTGTTGGTTTAGTTGTGGCATTCCCAGTTAAATAATCAATCTTGAAGCAGTACAATATATTCTATCCTTGTTTTTTATAATTAAATATGTTATATTTCGGTATATTTTCAATGATAAATTTATACATTTTAAACAAAAAAAAATTTATTTTATTTTTACTAATTATTTTTACAAAATTTATCTGAATGCTCTGAGCGTTAATTTCTTTATTTCATTCTTGAAGCTGCTCTAAAAACAATTTCATTTTCACCTGCTCAGTTTACCTCGTGATAAATGAGTTACGTTTCGAAACTTGTGACTAATATTCACGCACAGTAAACGCATACATCTTACTCGTTTAGCATTACGGTTGAATTATTCATTTCGGGTTATGAATATGTACTTCTTTCCTGTTGATTTGATCGGGGCGATCCGAACAAAAGTAAAACAGGAAATGACAGATCTCATTTCCGAAGTTTTAATTTTATCTTTTGAGTGAAGAAGTCTAAATTTTCAGCAGGATATAGGGGATTTAGTCATTGAAAAAAATGTCAAGGTTATCTTTACGAAATATTCCTCCTTTTTAGAGGTGCCAAGGGAAAATTCTTATGATTTTATGATAAACTCTAATGGCTTTAAATGTATTTTCACTTTTGTATTACATTGATTACATACATTTTAATTACTAATAACAGTTTGTATTCATAGGTCATCACAATATGATAAAAATTTTAGTAAAGAATTTTATGTGGCATGTTGAAGTTATTTCTTATTTGGTATATTTTTTCATCAAGAATTTATCTAATCTCATCTTTCTCTTTTTCATTCAGTACCAAGTTATTGGATGTTTAAGGCCTTTTCTCTTACTATTGACGTTCCTTAAGACCAGAATTTCTTGTGTAAACTAATCTATTTAGTCTATCTAAATGTAAATTTTATTACCTCTTTGAGCATTTGAATAATTTCATCAGCATTTATGGGAGGTCATGGTAGCCTAGTAGTCAAGATCACGTACTCGTGGTGAGCCTGTCACGAGTTCGAGCCTAGTGCTGCTGAAGACCCGCCGTGTAGAGAGGGCCGATGCGCGTTAAATCTGAAATTAAACGTCCTCCCGTTCGTGTAGTGTGAAAGTTAGCAAGGGGGTGCAGCTCAGGTGTCGTCACTTGAATATGATTCAAAATTACGAGGTCGGTCGCCGACAATCCTCGTGCGGCTTTAGTGCTACGCTTTCTCTCTTGAAATTTTGTCAAATTGTACTCTATAGTGGTCAATATCACAGACTCGTGGCTGACGCGTCATGGGTTCGAACCCTAATGTCACTGAAGACTCGCCGTATAGAGGGGCTGATGTAGTAATAGTATTTTCAATCGAGGATTTTTCATTATAGACGGGATATATCGGTAAAAATAATTTGTTATGAAATTTTTGTTAATTTTATTCAAATAAATATAGTTACATTTTTTGTTAATGTTGAGACCATTTGAGTCTTTATTTTAATCACTTAATTTTTTAACTTTTTTTGCGTTTTTTACATATACATTTTGGTAATTAATACTATTACACTCCTACAAATGACTCATTACTTTATAAAGAATTCTCCACAATAAGTGGAATGACGATATAAAATTTAAAGAAATGGAGGGAAAAATTGCATTAAGTATTGCTACGACAGTAAAAAAAAATCTTATAAATATTTTGAAAGAGTTTGAAAGAAAATGAAAAAAATCAATAGGATTTTTTTGTAATATCAAAAACATTTTGACTCAAAGCATGCGAAGCAAGCAACCAAATGAAGAAGAAATCAGGTATCGAGTTACGAAGGCATTAAAATTGTAGCAAAATTTTGAATTAATAAGTAATTGACCTTATTTTAGACATTTCTTTTTGCTTCCGATTGCATATCAATTAAGGCAATATATAAACCTACAAGCGGAAAAAAAAGAGAGTTTCTGTGCAAGTTTATTTCAACATGCATAATTTTTTTTTATTGAAATGAAGTTCATCAAATGAAAAGGTTCCACCACCACAACCTGATACTATACAACTGATAATATGTACAGATTGAAATAAATTTTTGCTAGTAGAGATTATATAGTTGCTCATTACAATTTCTTGTTAGTTAATGGTTTTTTTTTAAATTTCCACGACTTGCTAAATGATGAATCTAAAAATCTGCCGAAAAAATCTATGACATCTAGAAGATTGGATGAAAAACACTTTTCATTGTGTTTATTTTTAGCAAGAGCTTCTTAAATTTTGCATTTCCCCCATTATATGTGCACGAAATATAAATTCCAGCATTGCGTAGAGTATTAGTTGTACTTTTTTAATTGAATGTGTCTTAATAATGAACTTTTTAACTGAATTATGGTTAGTGTTTAGATTCAGGCTAACCAAAAGTGTTTTACAAAGCAAAACTTCACTTGGATTTTATGAATAATCAATTTATTTATTTATCATTATTATTTAGAATATTCTTATTCTTCGTGTATTAATATTTCACATGCACAGAAAGAAGTATGGACTATATTATCTTATTTATTATGATGACTTTTTTCAATGTAAGCAGTTGATCTACTCTAATTTTATTATATGGACATAAAAGTAGCCTATACATCGGCAAATCGCAGCTCTCAAGCTACAAGCGGTTCTTTGTATAGAACGTTGAGGATTTAAAGTATTCTTCTATGAATTATTAAAAAATAAGATTATGGCTACTTAAAAGTTATTTCCCTTTACTTAGCGAGCTGCCCAGCCAGTATTGTGGATATGATCCTCGGCTTACAAACGAGTGGGTTTGATTCGCGAATAAGGCCTGGATGTGTCTTCGGGAAAAGAAGTCGGACTATCGCCAGGAATGGATGCTCATCGTGTATGAAAAGAAACGCTCCCCCCTTCTGTTCTTTGCTGGGATCATTGTTTGTAATAAAATCTGTATTTTTCTATGTTTGTATTGCATGTTTCTGTTTTTCTATATCTCTCGTCTTTCATATGTATCCCAGGATAAAACACATGGATAAAACATAACAACGACAATTATTTAGAGAAAAATATTAACTGTATTGCATATACATTTAAACATTTGTTTGGCTTAAATAGTTATTTAAGATTGTTATTTCTGTTTTTTAAATAATTTTTTTTAACAAAACTTACTCACAGAATTAGTGAGAATATATTACAATTATTTCCAAAGCAGTAAAAATCCAGTTTACCGGTGAAAAAGTCGTAATGGGAAGACGCTTCTCAAAGCGATTGCTAGCAACATTTACTCAGTTGTATAAATGAGTTCAAGAGTACGCATATTTTGGACAAGAAATACACTTAAAAACTCAACAGAAGCGACAAACGCATGTTCCGTATTTTGTGACAAGTTGTAAGGTTAATAAAAGAATGATGAAATGACTTTTGTATATAAGAACAACCAAAATAAATTTTAATTATTAATGTACATATAAAATTATAGAACTTAGCCTTATAGGCACTTAGCCGTATTATTGCTACAAAATTTTTTCCACGAAATTTGAAATTTAAATTCACGACATTATGAAATTTTCACGATGGTTGTTTTTGCATTGAGACACAGAAACAAAAATATGTCCCATAGTTTATGAAAGAAAATTCAAAATTTTTCTTTGAATAAAATTGTATTAAAATATAATAAAAAATATTGATTGGAGCATGAGAGTGTGTCATTATTGTAACCACTACTAGAATCCACCCCCTTCCAGAGCAAGCGTACGCATATAAATATATAGTGCAGTGCTCCGCAACCTTTTTATCGTTTGTTAATTTTACCACGGCCCGCTAAAAGGGAGGATGTTGATTGTTTATATTTTAGACTGTTTTGATTTAATAATTTTACTTTAATTGTGTATTTAATTGTGACATCTGAATAAAATTTAGCTACACCACAAAAAATGAATATAAAGTGATTTAGCAAGGAATATTAAGTGATTTTCATAAAAAATAGCCCAAACCTAAGAAAAATATGCCACAATAAATGAAAGAGAAATAATTTAATGTTTCTTGTGCGGACCTGTAGTATTTGCTCCACGGACTGGTACCGGTCCGTGGACCGGGGGTTGTGGAACACTGGTTTAAGGTATCCGACTACTTGCGACAGTTTTTATTTTAAAAAATGGAGGTATGGGGATTTTTTTTTTTTTTTTGCGGTTTTAAGATTTAAGTACATTTTAAGAAAATTATGCTGAAATTAAGAAGAGAAAAAGAAATTAAAATTACTAAAATGGGAAAAAATTGGTAACAATTTACAAAATCACATAAACGGGGCTTCCCTTGTACAAAAAGTTTATGAACAAATTTTCAGTTTTGATGAGTTACCTTGCTATTCCTTTTTGAGATGACTTTCAGGATAAGAGATATTTTAAGATTTGAAAATACTAGAAAACATTAGTTGTTATATGAAATTGCTTAAAAAAAAGTGATTATATTCACATAAGGGACTGTAAATTTTGTAATAAAACAATGATTGATAAATCTGAAGCTTAAAACACTTCTACTATTATACAGAACATACACAA